TTATTGGAGAACTCGCCATCTCGCTCCGCCCGTGAAGATGCAGCCGTTCAAAGACTTTTTGTACCATTTTCTGGACAGCGCCAATGCAACATCACTGAGAATGGGCAGTCCTAAACCGAAGCCAATCCCCTAGGCAACCGGTTCGACCGCTCCAACAAATGGAACCGCGACTCATCTATAGTCTTCTGCGGTCTGCGATCCGCGGCTATGGGACTACAGCCGAAGGACCGCAATCAACAGATCAACGGATACCATAAATAAATATATTATAAATTTATATACCATAACTTTATCTTTATATATAATAATAATAATATATATATTATTATTATATATATATATATATATATATTATTATTATTATATATATATATATATTATATTATTACATATATATAATTTATATACCATAAATTTATCTTTATTTCACCGAGAACGAAATTTCAATCGAACATATTCACAGTTGACGCTACCGTCAAAGTGACCCACTTCAGGTCTCTCGTTCTAAAATTATTTACCGAAAGCAAAACAAAAGTGCTGTCTCGGGAATTTATTCGAACGATTCGTTCGATCGAACGTTTCCTCGAATACGGTAATAAAAATCAGTTGCACTTTATATAATCGAATCGAATCCGGTTACTACGGTCTGTAGTCGCTCGGTGCTTTTAGCGTTAGGTAAAATTGTTCAGTTTCTATGTTACCTCTGTTCTCATTTCTACTCGTGACGCTTATCAATTTTGCGGAACAAAAAATCTTAGAATCTTAGACATATCTCGATGAATCATCTGTTTCGTAAAAGCTACAAATTCGAATAAAGAGAAACTCGAGTGACTTGAATACCAGTGACATAAAATGAACGATGTCGGTCTAAAATTATTCGTAATGATTATGTGCATCCCTCCCGTACCATAATTATTGCTAATTAGAATCAGAGAGAAATAAACATTGCACTATCACCACATGACGGTAAACGCCCGAACTAAATTTCTTCTGTATGCGGTATGCAGGATTGCCGGAAAACATTAATTACTGCGGAACTGGACCATTAAAATTAAACCAGGGGCACATGATCGTTCGGAAGAATCAACTGCGTCGACATAACGAAAAAGAAGGTTATTTATTGATGAAAATAAAGAGAACACAAGATGCCACTTTTGTCACAAAGTGCTATGAAAAAAAACCAGCACGAATTATTTGCTACTGAGCACGCCACTACACGTGGTGGCGAAACGCTGAAACTGTTAGTCAAAATCGACTGTCGATAATTTTGTCTGTTTGATTCAACAGTTTCACACTAGGTGGCGCCAAATTTAAATTTTGTTGAGTTTAACTAAAGATGACTAGAATTATGTTAATAACACTAGAAAGACTGAAACTTAGTATATACCTATATTTTTTTTATATTATTCACAGTTGTATAACAGGTTATTAGTAAATATTAACAATAAAAAAATGTAAGATACGAATAACGAGTACTACTTTAGCTTATTGAGCAACTGCAACTTATCTAGTATATGCCCAAATCGACAATTTATCATATACTTGCATGTTATCATGTAACGGTAATCGAAAAAAATGAAAAATATTATTTCGATGCAGAGCCGAACTGGTCATATAAGAAA